GGTTGCCGCCGCTCGCGGCGTTACGCGCTGGCTGCTCGGTGGCGTGCCGAGAGGAAGTGAGCGTTTGGGGGGGTTTCGGGCGGTGCGTGACTTGATTCCGGGGACTCCTTGGTGTTATAAGCTTCGTATTGTTACTGTTTTTTTAAGTTATCACTGGTGTTTTAGGTAAAGGCGCGTTTTGCTGCAAGGCGGCTGCTGCTGGGCGCCGGGACGGTGCCGCGGCCGCGGAGCAGGGCGGCTCTGCCTGTCTGGGGCCGGGTAATCGGGTCCTTGAGGTCCCCGTGCGAAACCCGTATCGGCGCTAGGCCGGTGGCCAAACGGGTCCCTGTATCTGAATTATGCCTTTTCCCTAGAGCGTGTCAAGGTTTGCTTTCAAGTCAGGAATGAAGGCCCATAGAATGGACTGTGGAGTGACTGTATTTATTCTGCTAAGCCTGTCCTACAATCCAGTGAGCTTTTTCTAGTAGTTCTGTTGCAACTCTAGAGCTGTTTACAGAGATTGACCTTTATACGTACCATGCACTTTGCTTCAGTAAAATTGTCTTAGTATGTCGAACATGTATGCTACAAGGAGAACAGCATATGTGCCTACGTATGCAAGTTCTGGAATTAAAAGATTGATTCATGCAGTCAGTGTGAAGTTGGAAAAAAATACTATTACATTTTTTTTTTATTTGCTGCTTCTGATCCCCCCCATTTAGGATTTTACTAGCCTTTTGCATAATGCCAAATGTCAGATGGCTGTGCATCATGCTTTGTCAACAGTTCTGTCTTGTCATATGAAACTACTGGCTGGGAATAGTGAGAAGGAGAAAGTTGTTCTGAGAGCCTGCATGTAATGTTTTGGACAGAATTTACATTTAAAGATCTGGTATGAACATGTTCTTTCTGGTGGCTTTAATGTTAATACCAAAGTTGATTTTTTTTTACTGTCTTGTCATATGAAACTACTGGCTGGGAATAGTGAGAAGGAGAAAGTTGTTCTGAGAGCCTGCATGTAATGTTTTGGACAGAATTTACATTTAAAGATCTGGTATGAACATGTTCTTTCTGGTGGCTTTAATGTTAATACCAAAGTTGATTTTTTTTTAATTTCAGTTTTGATTCTCTGAAAGGTATTTTTCCAAACAGCTATTGGATTAAAATATTTAATTCTTTTGCTTTTGACATGTTAGAAATATCTTTAAAAAATATAT